GTTGGATCCAACTCATAGTGACCCCTCCTTGGGTTCCCAAGGCAGTATCTCTATGGAAGTAGATTGCCCCATCTTCCTTCCAAGGAGTGGCTGGTAGGTTTGAACTGTTAGCCTTCTGGTTAGCAGTCAAATGCCTTAAGCACTACACCACTAGAGCTCCGTCTAAATCAAAAGTACATATTACTTTTTTCATTAGCCAAATCACTGCTCCTCCCCCAAAAAAACACACAGAAAGATATTATTTTGATTAATTAAAATAACTACTAGCATTTCAGTAATTTATCAGTGTTTCACTGCTATTCGTAAGGTTTTCACTGGCTATTTTTTTTGGAGAAGTAGATGGCCTCTTTCTTTTTCCCAGTCTGTCTTAGTCTGAAAGCTCTGCTGAAACCTGTCTACCATGGCTGACCCTGCTGGTATTTGAAACACCAGTGGCACAGCCTCAAGTCTCACAGCAACACACGAGCCACCACAGTACAACAAACTGACAGACAAGTGGTGGTAGACCCTCAACAAGATGGCCTCACAAAGTGGCTGCAACAACGGGATTGTGAGGATGACACACAACCGGGCAATGTTTCATTCTGTTGTACACAGTATCACTATGAGTCGCAGTCAACTCAACAGCACCTAACAACAACTAGCATTTATTAAATATTATTTGTTAGCTTTGTACGGAGCACATTATAGTTATGTAAATCCTGCTATCTTCAATGCATTAAAATGTAAAGTACAGGGTATAAGTTTTATATAAAATAGCTCTGCATTCACAAAGCAATAGAAATTATTAAGATGGACTTTAGTAAGTAGTTCAACTTTCTTCGCTGTTCATTGTCTCAACTCCTCTCCCCTTCAGAAATAACTGCAAGAAGAAAAAAATAAACGTTTCCACTAAAAATAGTAGTACAAAAATAGCGGCCAAATAATTCTCAGCTAAATAAATGATTCTCAATCTCTGGTTTTATAACACCATTTAGGGCTTTTACCTAAAACACAGCTTCCTGGTCCTCACTCCCAGGCATTCTGATTTTGCAAGTCTGGAATGTGGCTCAAGGACAGCAATTATTCCCAGTCACAAATTGAAAAATGATCACTTAAGATTTAAACTGTCAAAACCATCACCATATTCACTATAATTTTGAAGCTCTGTTGTACCAGGCACCATACTATAAAATCTATATATGCTATTACATTTCAATTCTCACAAACAATGCAACATCATAGATGTTCTCAACTCTACTTAACAAATGGTGAGCTCTGGTGGCCTAGTGCCTAAGACACTGCTAACCAGAAGACAGGCAGTTCAAACCCACCAGCCACTACTCAGAAGAAAGATTATTTCTTCTTATTTAGTGATACTGCCTTGGAAAACCAAGGAGGGGTCGCTATGAGTCAGATCAGACTCAACGGCAAGGAGTTTTCAAGTTTATTTAACAAAAGAGGGGGCACATTCAAGATTAACACAGCCAATAGTGGCAAAGCTAAAATTTGCAATGCTAAAGATTTCCAGTCTTTAGATGTTCAATATACCCCACTGGTATTCACAGGACACGGTAGAAATGATAACTTGATGGCCTAACCAGATCTGAGAAAGAGAGGGAAGTGACTACTACTGTGTGTCACAATGAGTCACACAAAGGGCATGTCAGGTTCAGAAATGGTTATCAATGAAATGCTAAGTAGTTTCCTGATTCTCCACTATCAATATAGCTGAATAGACACAATAGGATGAAATCTTGATAAGATTCATGTGAAATGCGAGAATTTAATCACCCTGTGTCATGAAACTGTAAAAAGTTACACAGTGATATAATTCCTTCTGCAGAAGTGCAGATGCTTGGTAATAACAACTGGTTTGTATTTAGTAATACCTTAATATAGTCTGTCCATACTGAATAGCTTCAGAGAGTCTCCCTATATGAGAAACTAGCAGTGCCCCTACATTGAGGTGCCGTTCCCATCCAACATCAATCATATTACTCTGTTTATCATGGGATATGCAAGTGTCACAGAGCTAGGGAAGCAGAGGCTCACATTCCCAACCCACACTTACTGGTCCACAGAGGGAAATGTCACCCAAGCAAGTCCAAGGAGAGCCTTTCCCTGGGATTTTCTATTTGAGATTAGCAAAGAAACTCTGCACAAAGGAGAAAGGTCCCATGAACAAAACCTGCACGCAGTGGAAGAGAACAAGAGAGACTCCCCTAGTCCTGACATCCCTGGAGTTGCTTTGGTATCTGCAGTTCTTCTTTCAATTATATTCCTTCCAGTGACCCATGTAAGCCATTAAATATCCATTTTGCTTAAATTAGTTTTATTGCATTTTAATCACTGGCAACTAAGAATTCTATTACAAATTAAGTAGGTAAGCATTAGCTACATTTTACAGGTGAGGAAATTGAAGCATGAAGAGGTGATATAATTTGGCCAAGGTCTCATAGCAACCAGAGCTAGAATGAGAATGCAGGCTGATTTGGCTCTAAGATCTATGTATTTTCTGAATACTAAAACCAAGGCTTCGAACAGAATGCACTAATTGAGAATGGATTTCACTAAAAAATTGTTCTTATTATAAAGTTCTTACTTTAAGAACATGGAAGAGCCTTTCTAAGTATTCTGTTGTCATGGAATTCTGTACAGTGACTACTTTCTAGAAGATTTTACCCCTGGAATATACTGAGTATAACCTGAGATCACGTATTTTAAATAAAAGAAATAACAGTTCTAATCTTTCTATGAGTCAGAATTGACTGAATGCCAGTGGGGTAATCTTTCAGGAAAGACTGCTTCAAAATACAAAGAATGTAAAGATAACCAAGTTCTAAGAAAAAAAGATGCTGGCTTGCTTCATGGCCCCATTATCCACTGTTGGAAATACTATTAAGGCTAGACTCTTATCTAGCAGGTTTACAGAAAGAGCACTGCAGAAAAAGCAAAGGATACATAGTTTCTAATCCTGGTTCAATTACTGTCCTTTGGATCCTGGCCAAATGATTTAAAAATAGAAAGAGGTTGAGGATAGCTATTCCATCTCCCAAGAAAACAAAAAAAGTTGTTTTAACTCTATAAGAAACTTAAAAAGAAGCTATAGATAACATCTAAAATAAAATTCCAAGTATGGCTTTGGAAGTAGTTCTGCTTTTAGGAATACAAGAGTCCTGATGCGTCTTTGGCACTCACCTAACCTTAATTAAACTATAAAGTGAAAACATGACAATTGAGCTTTTCCATACTGTTCCTCTACCCAAACTTTCACTTATACATCCAAATGCAGTGAAATGTAGTTCACCACATTTTTACAAACTGACAAACATTTATTTTCAATTTATATGTATACCTGATTTATAATGAAGACATGCTCTTTAGAGGACTTAGAAAAGCAGTTTTTTAGTGACTCAATTCAGGCACATCAAACTTAAGATTTCAGTAATAGTTCTATAAAAACATTTATTAAAACTGAAGTATTTAGTTTCTAAATTTCAAATGAAGTAATTTTGTTAAAATTAGCTGGCCATCTTGACATGCAAATACAATTTACAAAAACCTGTCACAAAATAAACTATAAACATCTGAGACAAAGTGCTAAAAAGGAATGTTACTCTATCAAACTTTAACCTAATATCATAATCTATTTTCACTTAATGTTTTGGTTAAAATATTGCTTCTGTACAATTTTACCCAGTACAAAGATAATTTTTCTACAATTTTAAATGCCTCACAATTACATGACAGACTAGAAACAGTTTAGCTTCCATCTGTCATTTTTCATGAGCTCACTCAAGTCTTCAGTCTCAGCTTCTCACATGACAGATAATCGAAGGTTGCCAAACCTAGCTTTTGAAGTAGTTCTGCTTTTTATGAAGAATCTAGATGGGTTAAGGACATGTGTTAATTCGCCTGATCCATAATCAAATCATAGTTTTACACATAGTGATCCAGCTTTTCCATGTTGTTCCTCTGCCCAAACTTGCCCTCTATATTCTGCGAATGACCATCAACTCAGAACGAAGTTAAACAGCCTAGAGCTGGTCTGCATTCTCTCCTCCTTACCAACCTGACACATTCCTACATCAAAGTCGTATCTGTTAGGAGGGGTCGCTGTAAGTCGGAATCAACTCGATGGCAGTGAGTTAGGAAGCACCCTCTGTAGTTCCCTCTAAAAAGATGCCTACACACAAGCTTGCCTGAGCCTATTTTCCAAGGCTGTGCGAATGCTGAGATTTTATTAAGCATTCGTAGTGCGAAACATTCTTAAATTTCATATTGATTCCAACGCTGGCACTGGTTTGTGTAAATCTACCTAAATCACTATCATTCTGCTTTTTAAATATCGATGGGTAAAGAAAGATACCTTCATGTCATCTGACACGAGACTTGAACGTGTCAAGTATCGCACGTTTTTAAGTTTCTAGAAGTTTCAAAAGAAATCTACTGTTTTTTTTTAAAAAAAATCACAATCTAAACAAACGCCATGTTAAGATTTAACTTACCGCTGCTAATAATAAAAAAAGTTAAATGTCAACAAAAGAAAATTAAATGGCCTTTCCAGAGGTGGGGAGAAAAAAAAAAAAAAAAAAAGCTGAACGGGGGCGCCAGTTTAAATATCTCAACTCCAACTCCATGGAGACAAGAGGGAATTCCCACTAGCCAGACAGCAGGAAGGCTTTTGTAGGGCACCTCTTACTTTCAACGAATCCTAAAACTGAGGGCGGGGGGACGGAGCGCAACTGTTGAAACTTAGAAATTAATCTCTCACTGCTTTAAAGAACACATAAAGAATGGGTTCAGAAAACAGACACAACGAGTCCGGGATGCTCTGGGGCTGGAGCAGCGCCGCGCTCATCTCAGGGCTGGGTGGGAGGAGGGAATTGCGCGAAGGGGGTCAGAGACGGCGGCAAAGAAGCGGGAGGCCAGGGCCTGGCGGCGGAAAGCGCGGGACGAACAGCGAAGAGCCGGGGCAGGCCCCGCGTCCCGGCCCCAAGATAAGGAATGGCCCGTACCTGTCCGACCCGCCGGTAAGCGCTCTGGGGCCCGCGCTGCCCGCCCATCTCGCAGCGCCGCGTCCGCCGCCCGCGAGCCAGGAAGCTGTTGCGGCCTGCGGCATTCCGCCACCGCCGCCTGCTCCTTCCTCCAGTGACACAGCGAGCTGGCTGAAGGCGTAGAGAAGTGAGCAGAAACCGCAGCCCAAACACAACACGACGATGCGCAGGTATCGCCGCATCGCCCTGGCTCCGCGCTGCCACCACCGCCGTCGCTGCCGCGCCCGCCCGGGCGAACTGGAGCGGAGGGAGCAGCACTGCGCAGCCGCGGGCGCAACAGTTCCTCCTCCACCACAGTCTTGCTCTGCCCTCCCCGTTTCCTCCCTCTCCCATCCCCGCCCACCATCTCCGCGAGCGCGGCCGCGGCGCCTGAGTCTGCCCTCTCGCAACCACCCCGAAGCCTGGACACCACCTCTGCCACAGCTCGCGGCACCGGGCCCCCCCAAGCCCCGCCCCCGGCCCGCCTCCCGCCGGGCCAGAGGGGAGCTGCGAGACGCGCCGGCGCACTGAGCGCGAGGGGGCGGAGCGCGAGGTGGTCGGCTCCGGGTGTGTGGAAGTGGCTCCTGGAGTTTTTGCTGCATCGGGCGCGCGTAGGCGGGTTCCACGCCTGGGGGCCGGTAACTTCTAAACTCGGTAGCTCTAAACTGCGGGAGCTCTAGTAGCTAGTGCCTAAAGCACTGGACTG